CGGACTCTGTGCATCTGGGTAAGATGCACAAAGCCAATTATTAAAAGAAAAGTATATTTATATGCATAGTTACTGTATATTTGTTACTTGAAATATATACAAATGAATAATGATTTAAAAAATATTTATATAAAATGATTTAATTATATATTTAATCACTTATTTAATATAATGGTGGAGAGGTGAGTTCAGTTAGCTCATATTAATGCAGTTTAATGCATAATGACATGTACTCACCATACTTTGTTGATTGTATTTCATCAGATATTATTCAGATATAAGACAGACCATCCCTGTCAGTGACCAAGAGATGAACTCCTCTCTAGCTGAACTCTCTAGGGTGAGTTATGGGCATTTACCTAGTCTGTGATACTCGGGTTACCATATTTGCCTCTGTAAAAGTTGGGGAATGTTTTAAGATTAAGTTTCTGTATGAATCCTTCTGTCAAGTCGTACAAAATGTATATCTCCGATTTCATTTCTGTTTATAAAATTTTCCAGCCATTTTACATTTTCTGATAAATGTATTTTGTACTATATAATTATTATAAGCTGTTGGTCTGATTCACATGAAATTTGGCATGCATCGTCTTGAGACACTCGTGACAAAAAGTGATCAAAAGGATTTAGATTTGCCTAAACGTTGCAAAAAATATAAGGTGATGAATATTTGAGGTGTTGCCTGTTGTAACTAATAGATTGATATCTGATTGAATGCAAAATCCAATTTTCAAGAAACTTAAAGTGATAGTTCACCCAAAAATGAAAATTACCCCTTGATTTACTCACTCTCAAGCCATCCTAGGCGTATGTGATTTTTTTTCTTTCAGACGAATACAGTCAGAGTTATATTAAAAAAATGTCCTGGCTCTTCCAAGCTGTATAATAGCAGTGAATGATGGTTGAGATTTTGAAGTCCAAAAAAGTGCACCCATCCATCATAAAAAGTGCTCCACATGGCTCAGTGGGTTAATAAAGGCCTTCTGGAGCCGATGCGTTTGTGTAAGAAAAATATCCATATTTAAAACTTTATAAACCATAATCTTTAGCTTCTACTAACTGTTGTACGCACATACAAGAGAAAGTGGTGTTCCAGTGATGATGTAGCCGTAATGCATTTTTAATTGTAACTACTTCATTATAATATTAATATTTACGCTCTGCTATGCTTCCTTTGCAGAACTACTCTAATGAAGTTAATCATCTAGTGGCGTTGCATGAGTTGTACAAGTATATCAACAAATACTATGATCAGGTGAGAACTTCGGTATATTCTGTCTCTCTCTGATATTTGCATGCTCTGGTGTGAATAGTGATGAAGGGGCTTGACAGCACATTCTTATCATGCACTCATGCTTTGGCACGTGTTTTATAGCAACCTAGTAACAAAACGATGCACAGTATTAACAGTGACAAAAATAAACTCTCGTTGCAAACATCTCCTGCCCTACTGCCCCACATTTAAAAGTAAAGCAGTATTTGCTGGTAGACATTACTTTTATCATGAGGAATCACATTTTTCTTGATCTTTCGAGAATAAAGGATTTGTTGTACTATTAACATATGTCACTTTAGGTCACTTAAACACCTGACCTTTTCTTGTAAAAGTTTGCTGTGTGCTTTTGCAACTTTCTGATGTCAGATAGATGGATATGAACACTGTCAGTTAATTCAGAGGAAGTAGAATAAATACTGTTATTCAAAAACCCGAGAAACTACAAATAAGAGTAAAATTTGGTAAAGTCTGCATTTCTTGCTGTTGGTAAACTGTCAAAATATTTTTTAAAGTTGTAATTTTATATATATTTATATATACAGTGCCCTCCATAAGTATTGGGACTGTAAAGAAAAAAAATTGCTCTGTTTGCTGTGGAGTCAAGAAATCTGTAAATAGGATTAAAAGATTAATATGAGACAAAACTACAGAAAGTCACATTTCATTATTGGGTGATTCAACACAGATGTTTTACCAGCTAAGAAGATCAGCACTTTTAGAGTCTCATCCCTCTATCTGACCCATCTCTATGATATCTATGGTCTCTATCTCAGTGTAAAATTAAATTTAAAAATTGCATAATATTACCCCTTTTTACATTGTCTGAAACTAAACAGCCAACTCTAGGGTGATGGTTTACATATCAGGAAATAAAAAAGATCCACAATCTTCTTCATGTCTGTAACTTTTTTGCGTCTCTTCAGATCATCACAGCTTTAGAGGAGGACTCCACTGCTCAAAAGATGCAGCTGGGCTACAGACTACAACAGATCGCTGCAGCTGTGGAGAATAAAGTCACTGACCTTTGACCTGTAACCTCGGACAGACGCTTGAAAAGACTGTAAAAGAGACCAAGCCAGTGACAGAAAGAGACCAGAGACCTTTCCAGAAGGCATGAACTCTTACTTCCTGAAGACTCCAGAGCACAGAGGATATTTGAGACGGACGGTTACGATTAAAGACAGCATTCACAGATTCAAAAAGCGTGAATCTCTCATAGATCTGTAGAGCTGCTCTCGGTTTCATCTGCACAGCCGTCACTCGCTAACACGCTACAGTGCTGTAAAACTACTGTTGTTGGCGGGGCATTTCTGAGGGATGCGCTAATCCTACAGGGTTTTTGGCATTGTGACTTGAGGCCCCAAGCTCAGAATGTTGTTTTCAGCGTGTCAAGCATGCTTGAGCACCACCTTTCCTGTATTTAAAAAAAAAAGTCTTACTGTTTGTCGGATTCTTGGAAAACCGCATTTGGTGTGATGTGCTTTATGTTGCAGCCCGTGTCTTAATAACAAAGAATTCAAAAGGAAAAAAAACAAAGGATGGCTTCTAAGGATAACTAAATGAATTTTCTTGCTCAACACTCCCTTTTGTTGAGTGTTCTCTTGTAAACTGTTTTTATCCAGATTTTTTTTGTTTTAAATGAAAACACTGGTTTAAGGGAACTCTACCTAACAGGGCCATTTGAGATGTCTTCATGTGTCACATGCATGGATACTCACCGTGAATTCAGAGATTTTAGGTTGGCACATGCATGTTGCGTGTGCATTTTATTGTCGATTCTGATTATGTAAATGGTAGGTTAACTCGATTAACACACTTGATTTAGGTGGATAGGTTTCATGTAACGTTCACAATGCTCAGTTGTACATTTGTTCATACTCATTAAGGTTTGTTTCTTCAGTGTTAAAGTGTGCTTTTCAATGTTTTTGGTTGGCTTTCAGAAAAAAAAAAAAATTGTGGCTGTCCCAAATGTGTGTATATCTGCGATACATCCCTGCACATTTGGCCGAAATAGTTATGCCAGAAGTATTTAATTTATGCTGGGTTTTTTTTTGTGTGTGTGTGATCATGACCATCCTTTCAAATGTTTCAATAACTATTTTCACAGTTGTTTTTGTTTGTTTGTTTTTTTGCAAATTTATTCTCCAGCTGTCACACTCTTAATTCTTGATTTGTTTCTGTGATCGGATCATGGCTAACATAAGTGTTTTTTTGTTTTTTTTTATTCTTACAGTTTCTGAACACTGAATGCACATTATATTGTGAGCTGCCGTATATTGTCGTACTGTGCATTGCTTGCACGTTTTACGTTCTTATTGATTTTTATGTATTTATTTATTTATTTTGTGTTCGATTAATGTACAGACCAAATTTGGTAATTATGATCCACCTCCAAATTCAAAATTAACTTTTTTTTTGCGAACTGACAGCAGTTTTCAGTGTTTGTTCAGATCTCTTAAGCATTCATGCAGATTTACTGGTCTTATTTTTGCTGTAGTTCACTGTTGTGCTCAGTGTTTTGTACGTATGTGTGGCTGTGATACACTATAGATTATTTTGTAAGTCTTGCACAGGACGCGCTGGCCTATTTGAAGCGATTGTAAATTGTTTCTACCATCTGTTCTTCTACCTGTGCATTTCTGTTGTAAATAAAATGTTGCTATAACTCATTAAATGTTTCTGAATTTGCTGGACATTCAGCATTTTAAGACTAAATTATTTTTTTTATAGTTTCAGAATACCATTCACATTCAGTAATTATAAATAAGTAATGCTTGAATTAAATTCTTGGATCTTTGGAAAAGAAGTGTCTCCATCATATCCTTCCATACACACAGTAGAGTAAAGGTTTCCCTTATGAGGACTTTCTATGTGTGCTGCTGTCGCCCAGGATTCACTCCAGCCAGGATATGAGCATCTGCCCATCTGCCAGGTCTAAAACCAGCCTCTGCAGGACAGCAGCAGAGAGACTGTGCATATTTATCCTCATATATTTAATCCCTGTCAGAGAAAAGACCTCAGGAGTGTCTTCTCTAGGTGACAAACGTCAATACTTCTGCTTCCTGTGTGAACATGAATAGCTGTAATCTAATTGTTAGTCATTATAAACCACCCATAATACATTCATATGCTGACAAATTTGCTTTAATCGTGCTGTGATCCTAACAAATGGTAGGCTATATTGTCAATAAAGATTCATCTTTTACTCTAAGTGCCAGTTTACTCACTCATGTTATGTTTTAAATAAGGTCGGGTCAAAACCGCTCACTGGCACTGACACTCAGAAGTGTGTGTGTGTGTGTGTGTGTGTGTGTGTGTGTGAGAGAAAGAGGTACTAACTGATAAGTGCTTTCTTGTGTGTGTTTGGAAACCATCCAGAGACTGAAGTTCAGAGCATTTTGACCCTATAGAAGTTCCTTCAGGAGTAACTCATTTCCAATCAGTGCATATACACATTGACATCAGTGGTGCAAAATGGATTTAATATTGATTTAATCGTCAAAAATAACTAGAAGCAAAGCAGGGCTTTTACCACAAAGGAGTGTTTTATTATTATTATTTTGTATTTTTTTTTTTTACGACTTTTGAGCCCCCTAGTGAGTGGAATTCACTGTCGTAATTACAGCGGATAGCACGTGGGTTTGTTGCTGCCGTAAAGCAATCCGCTTTTTTCGCGGAATTTCGTACCCGCTCACTGAACTAATAAACTTACAGGGCGCTAGTGATTGCGTGGAAAAGAAGCAGAAGCCATTCGGCTTGTTTGAGATGAGCAAAATCTGCGCAGAATCGATCACCGGTGATCACCGCGAGATGCACGCCGGTTAGAAAAGTGTCCGAGTTACGTCCGACTTGCTCTGATGTCATGCTGACGTGTGCAAAAAAGCTCTCGCGACGGCGAGGCGGCTGTGTCGGATTGAGCAGTCGCGCGCAGTTGCTCTCCACCGACTGCGCTGATCAAAAGCTTGATGGGAAACGACTGACTGACGACACAGCTTAATGCTCATTGGTTCAGACACCCGTGATGCTGTGTTCTCTTCTAAAATATTTCATTTTTATCTGATTTCATATGATTATGTATTTAAATTATGCATGAATGTTCCCAAACACTATGACAGTGCGATCTCTGTGTGAGATAATGTGATTGTTGTCATATTTCTATAAAAATGAAAAATACATGTTTGTATTAAAGTAAAAATGGATGATAAATACACCTTTCGTATGGAATTAAATAGCAAGCACTTTGAGTGTCTTGTTCATCATATTTATTTTCATATAAAAGCAACAGAACTGAAATCATATGTTTATTAGCAACACAGCATGCAAGTGAGAATATCGCGATATCTGCCTTTGATCTCGTTGGTATCTGTTCACTTCTAGAGGTCAGAACTGTCCGTCTTTAAAACAGCAATTTGTGGAATTCAGCTTAAAGATGTAATTAATTATTTGGGTGTAAAAATATCTTTAAATTCAAACATGCTTCTTTCAGAACTTAATCTCAATCCTATTAAAGACGTGATTAGAAAGAAGTTTAATTCTTAGCAAGAGACTTGTCTCTCGCTGATCGAGTCTTATTGTCAAAAGCAGAGGGTCTATCAAGAGTCTCTTATCTCTTCTCTATAATGGATTGTCCTAAATCATCATGTGTCTTTTTGGATAAATTATTATATAATTTCATATGGAAAAACAAATCACACAAAGTTAAAAAGGAGGTTCTAAGAAATAAGATTAGTGATGGAGGTCTCGACGTTGTGGACTTCACCCTCTTTAACCATGTATTAAAAGTAAATTGGTTGAAAAGATTCGTTAAAAAAACTGATTCTATATGGAACACATTTCCTAATGTTATTTTTAAGAAAATTGGAGGCATTGAATTTTTGTTACAGTGCCCCTTTTCACTTGGTAAATTACCCATTAAATTAGCAAAATTTCACCAACAGGCTTTATTGTCGTGGTTACTAGTTTACAAACACAATTTTTCACCTCACCGTTGTTTTATTTGGAATAATCAGAATATTGTTTACAGAAATAAATCATTATTTTTTGAGAGATGGTATTTAAATAACACATACTTTGTTAATCAGTTGGCAGATGACAATGGTCAGCTATATTCCTTTTCAGAATTTTCCAGGAAATTGGATTTTGGGGCTTCGTTAAAAGAATATAACACTGTATTTACTGCCATTCCTAGCGGTATAAAAACTCTATTGAAAGGAGAGCAAACCTCAGAATTTTCCAGGAAATTTGATTTTGGGGCTTCGTTAAAAGAATATAACACTGTATTTAATGCCATTCCTAGTGGTATAAAAACTTTATTGAAAGGAGAGCAAACCTTTAATCCTGTTTCTATATATAGGCCTAACAATTCTATCTCAGTAGAAGGGATTTTGATTGTTGAGGACAAATTCAATAACCGCTTTGTTCGAAATCATATCAACAGAAAATCTATTCCAGCGTCTTCTTTTAAATGGATGGCATTGTACAATGTTAATTGGAGTGTCGCTTGGTCTCTTCCACACAAATATGTATTAACAAACAAAATAAAAGAAGTCACATTTAAAATATTACATAGATGCTACCCTTGTAATAGTGTACTTAGTACGTATATGCAAAATATTGAAAAAAAAAGTACTTTCTGTGATATAGAAGAGACCATTGTACATCTTTTTTGTGAATGTGTTTGTGTGAAATTTTTTGGGAATGAGTTATGTACCTATCTCTCAGATAAAACAAATGTTAGAATATGTATCAACACTTTTGATATTATTTTCTTTTATTATAACTCTAACTTTGGGATTCAATATATTGTTAATCTTTTTATTATACTTGGCAAATTTTTTATTCATAAGTGTAAATTTTTGGGTAAGAACCCAGTACTGTCAATTTTCCTGGCTGACTGTAATTCTTACGTTTTATCTTTGATGGGCATAAAAAAAAAAAATCATTCAAAAGTAAAAAATTGCTTTCAATGTTTAACCTTGTATAATTTCCCCCCTCTGGTTTATGTTATTTATTTGTTTGTTCTTAGTTTTATTTATTTATTCATTTATCTATTTATTTTTTACTTTCTATCTTGTATTATTTTTTTGTAATGTTTTTATACAAAAAAATGTATAAAAGCTCTATTGTTTTTTAGGTTGTTGTGGTTATATGCTTGTTATTAAGTGTTTTGGCATTAATAAAAAAAATAAAATAAATAAAAATACTGACTTCCGTAAAAGAGGAATAACCAATTACATTTGAGGTTACAATTAAAACAGCAAGCCCCGCCCCACGACTGACAAAAATAAAAGTGTTCGCGCGAGCAGGTGAGG